AGGTGTCAGTCTTGTCCACCCCCAATCTCACACCAAAAATTTGTTAACAGGGAAGAAAATATATACATGCCTTCTATGAGTCCTTAACTCTTTCTAAAACTGCAACAATTTCCTTTCTGAAAGTTCCTCCCAAGTCCCCAAATGCAGGATGAGCTTTCACCACTGAACATGAAAGCAGAGGGTGGGACCAGCCAATCCTCAAAGCCCTTCCTACAGCTCAACAAAGAGCCGGGAAGGAGGGGCAGGGCAGGCCTCCCCCCAGCCCTGTGGGCAATGGCTCTGCTTCTGCAGGCAGAGGTGCCAGGCTAGAGGGCAGCAAAGAGTAACCCACAGGAGAAAAAAGTTCATATTGAACTGCAATAGCTTTTTAAAACAACCTTAGAGACGGAAGGGATGGGCTAGCAGTGGATGTCTTTGTTTGCTTGATGATTTAGAGGGGCTAGTGAATAAGAGAAGAGGAGCATTTTCACCAACTTCGAGCATTCCAAAAGTTTGGCTGAATAGAAATAGGTGAAGCAAAGGAACAGGGGAAATTGGTCCAGTGGTCCAGTGAAAAGGCACGAAAAGGAGGTTTGTTCCTCAAAGCACAAAGGAGCATGTTAATGCTCAAGTCATTCTCCATGGTCACGTGGGAGGGACCTGCATAGCAGACTGAGGTCGGTTTCATTCTGAAATCACAGTGAAGAGAGAAAAGGCACCGGACAAAAATAAGTGGCCCAGTTTTAAGAATCTCCTTAGAAATCTGGGAGAAAGAGGAGCCTCTAATCAGGGTTTGCTGTGCTTCTGCTCCGGTGGGGTGGGTGGGGGGATGATGTCATCCTCGAGAGAAAGAGAGCAGCACCGGTGCCAGAAATCTGATCTCACTGCTCTTCAGTAACTCAGTAGGGTCTTGTGTGGGAATTCCTCATCTTGGGGATTAGCGACCAATAAATCTACTTTGCAGGTTTGGCTACCAGTGTTTGGCTAAGGGAAGAAAGAAAAACTGAAATATCCTTCTAAATGGGAATCGTGTGAAAGAATGTAGCATAGCAGTCTTCCTACGAGAGCCATATGGATGGGACCTTAATAATAGCTATTGACTTGAATAATCTGTTTTAACAATCCCTGTTCCCCCTTCAGCTGAGGATGGTGAAGCTCAGACGGCAGAAGTCACAAAGCCGGCTATTCCAGTGACTGCCTGGGTGCCTGAGCCCCATGTCAGTGCATTTTCCTCTGAAGCACCCACAGCCCCACCCCCATCAATTTCCAAGCTGTGACAGGTCGACAGGAACTCACAACCTTACCCACTTAGAAGTCACCTGAGTCATTCCCAGGGACCCAGGGACACCTGTTCACATTACATAAGCGTCCAGACTACACAGACACTGAGGGGGAAAAAAATGTCCTGCTGGGGACTAGTTCTGCCACTTGCTCTGTCATTGTGCAGAAGGACACTGTGGCACAACCAGCAGAACCGGTTCAGGGGAAGAACTCAGTAACAGTTCTGCCAGAATCGTGCTGCAATCGATACTAGGAATCAGAAGTTAAGTCCCAAACTGCATGTGAATTGTCTTTACACTTTCCCTCGTCAAAGTTTTTCCTCTAGTTAAACTAAACAATGAGAACACCACATCCTTTCCTCTCTTCTGCTCATGCTCAACGACAGGGAGAAGGAAAGTGTAGGTCAGCAGCAACAACAACACAAGTAAATCTGTGCTCTGAAAAAATCTATCACCTTATCATTAGCTCATGATTATACATATGTAGTAAGAGCCCCCATACTGGACTGTTGTTTGTTAGTTTTTGAATAAATGCACCAAGGCTTAAATATTTGAATAACAATTATCATTAAATGTCGCCGTCTAGGGAAGACGTGTTTTTCTCTAACGATGCTGCTGTGGCTCGAAGTTTATTTGTAGTGTCTCTTCTGACCCTGCCTTCTCCAAAGCTGGTCTTCCAGAAAAGAAATCGCCTTTGAACCCTGAAGTGGTATTGTCCAACTTGTTGACATGACATTTGATCCCAAGTGATTTCTGGTGTTTTCATAAAACATCTTCAAAGACCAAGGTACACCACTCTCATGGACATTTGAAAGCATGTCACAGCCGCTCTCTTTAACGGTGCCAACCCAAGCCCAAGCTGGCCTTGCAAACACCTGGGTTCGTGGCTGCCAAAGGCCTGGCCAAAGAAGCCAGGGGCTGTGGGCAGGGGTCCTGGGCCCCCTGTCTCCACCAGGGCAACCTCCACTGTGTCACTATGTCCCCCAGGACTGCAAACCAGTGAAGATGTCAACTGCATATTCAACTGCCTGGGAGGGCATGGTTCGGGCACAAAAATTCAAATGTCTACCAGGGCTGGGCAGAGAAAGTTCCAGAATGGAGAAGGCTAGCAGAAGCTTTCAAGAGAATAGCCAATCCCTCACAGGAACCACTCAGGGCCTTGCAAACACTTGGGCTCATGGTTGCCAGATTCTTTAATTATCCAAAAGAATCTAGAAACCTAGACTGCAATAATAAAGACCTCTTTATTATTAAATGTGAGCCAAAAGTTAAAAATTGAAATAGAAGTACATAAATGCTTGATATATACACGCACATTCTGCGGACCACGTGAAGGCGGCAGGCCGCAGGTTGCGTCCTCCGGCCACGCGAACCAAACCATCACGTGACACTGAATTCGGCCCAGCCCTGAAGCCTGGGGAGGATTTTCGTGTGGATGCTACCAACAGGAACCCGAGAGCAAATTCAACTGCTTCTAAGTCCGTCGTGTGAAAATCGAAAACAATTCCCTGATGAGAGAGTAAATTCGCCTTTACTTCTTGCTTCGTTAAACTCCTTTTTCTCAACCAAGTGATTCTGTTTTTTGCTGATTATAACATCAGCGATATGTTCAAGAAATACCTTAGGTGCTGCTAGTTGAAAAAAAGTCTTGCCCTCACTAACGATTTATTTTTTATGGGTTTTCTTTAAAAGCCCTTCCAGTAGTTTGAGGGAAATTATTTGAAATTATTTTGTATTACGTATTGGTTAACGCAGACTGCTTACTACTGCAACCATCAAGCAATAGTAACTAAAATATATATATTAAAGAAGCAAACAAATTTTGCCACGAGAAGCAAACACTGCCAGCTGTCAAAGCACACGTTGAGTTTGAATTCGTCATCTGGGACAGTGCACACGCACAAACACACTTAAACAAGAAGAGTGAAATTCTGCCTTTGGGTAAGGAGTGGTCTAGTCAACCCACAGTCACGACCTGCTGTTGCCTCTCAGAGCCTCGGTCATTCAAGTGGCCCCTGCGGCTGTGGCATTTTCTTTAGAGGGTCCCTATGGACACAGAACAGTGAGGGCACTCACCCACGAGCGCTGGTTACTGAAGACTGCACCACGATAAAATTAGGGTTCCCACTGCAGCTCACGTCTACACTGACAAGCCTGTCCAATGCTGGGACCCCACCCTCTCCCCCGGGATCAGCGCGGGGGCCTGCGTCTCACTCCTCACACTTGCTCTGTGGTCCCTGGATCGCCCTCCCCCTCCAAGGGCACAGGATCTTCACATATCACACACCCAGCACCATACTTGCTGTGGCAGAGTGACTTGGAAACGTTTGTTTTGTTTTATTTTGTTCTGAGTATGGGAACTGAGTGAGGCTCAGAGAGGCGAGGTGACTCGCTGAGGGCTCTAATCCCACTCTGGCTGGGATTTTCTTTTCTTGTTCTAGCCCAGGAACCTAGCCTCTGCAGGGAAGGGCATGAAGGGAAACAGGGCTCTGGGCAAGGAACTTGAACGTGACTGAGAAGACCAACTCCCCTACAGTTCTGTGTGGAGCCTGACCACCCACCTGGGCAAGGTCTGCTTCCTTCTGGTGGGTGCCTGAGCCCCTGCAGCCCACTCCAGGCTGCTCTGCGCTCTGTTGCTGAGCGTTATTTAAGTCACCTTTCATGGGCCCAAAGCCAGTTTCATTTCAATTGTTTGATACCTGAGTGAAATGAGACACTGAGCAATTCATCTTCTGTAAGTCCTGCCCACAAACTCCAGTCCAGTTTCCTTTCTCACCCATCCCTCCCCCAGCTCGCAGACAATAACGCATTGAAGGGAGTTGTTTACATTGACCTTTCCATTAGTCTGAAGACAGAGTTTTGTTAACGCCCACACCAGAAGTGCAAAACAAACTGAGGTTTCATCTGGAACCTTCTCTTTGGTGCAAAATAAAGATGGAGAATCAGAAGCTATGCAACACAGAAAAGTGCATGGCGGAAAAGTTTGGAGTTTTCATAAACTCAAAGGCACTCGTGGCCAGAAAGCAAATCAGGAAGTTTCCCTTTTTCACCCGGCAACAAGGTGCACATCTGTCCTCAGGTCACACCTTGCAGGAGAGTTACTGTTGCCCTTTTTAACCCTACTGACACCAGAGAGAAGTAGGAAAAGCTTAAGCAGTCAATAAGGGGAAAAATGGCCCAAGGTCACAGTGGGCACACCACAGGGAGTGAAGTTCAGAGATCTGCAGCCCTGCCTCCTACTGCTCACTCAACCAGGTTACACCTGGAAAAAGTCGTGGGGTCAAGAGACTTCCCAGTCCTCACGGATGAAAACGTTACCTCTGAACACCTTGCTCCCTCTGAAGGAGGCTGGAGTTAGACCAGGGTGTGGCAGGACCTGCAGGGCAGGGAGAAAAGGTCTCTGGGCCCATTCTGGGCCCGCCCCACGGGCTCACGAGTGGGGCCTGAAGCTCGGGAGAGCCATGGGGAGCCTTCTGCAGGAGGTCACCTAGGAACACGTTCACCCTCTTCTTCCTCACCCCCCAAAAGGCAATTTAGCTAAACAGAATTGGATGTTTGTGACTTCTAGAGAAAGATAAGAAGTTCATTTCTTTTTGTTCTGGCTCAAGTTAACAGATCTTTCTCTACCTATAAAGGCTTTTGTAAAAAAAGAAGAAAGAAAGAAAAGAAAAGTCAACTGCAGAGAAAGGACACATCACTTAAAAGATCTGAACAATGAATCGATGCTACTTTTTTACTCACCTTCGCCTCCTCGTTCACATCCCAGGTGAAGGAAACAGCATTATAAGCGATCTCTTCGATGTTTCCAATTGTATTAAAGCTCTCCTTGTAATCCGCTGTAATGTTAGAATAGAAAACGGTTTTAAGAATGAGAGTTAATTCAGTGACATGTCACTTTTTTCATCAGGGAAACTGACATGTCGCCTCTGCTTCTAGTTGTTTCTATGGCAACAGATAAGGATTTATGCTTGCTGATATGTTCTTACCAGCACTTCCAAGAATGCAAACACATTCCTCTATTAAAAGACCAAATCTAGGTGAAGCCATGTTCCTGATTTGCTCATTAGTTTCATTTTGCACTAGGTTTATAAAGTTACTCTTTTTCTTCTGAGTCCCTTGTCACCCACCTGTTCCCTCTCCTACTCACTTTCCCACCGCTGAGTTTTCTGGGAGGGCCAGAGCGGTCTGTGGGGCTTGTTCTGTAGGACAAGATATTCTCTTTATCTGCCAGGCAGTGTCCTCAGGACTTCAGTGGCGGAAATTCCAGGACGGGGCTGGAAAACCCTTTTTTTTTCCATTTCTTTTTGGACTTGGGTACGGAAAGTTGAGGTGATCATACTCATCTTGCTATCATCACCAGTTTGAGGGCCACCACTCCTTTATTCACGTAGCATTTGTTGATCGCACTTTATCCCCACTATCCACCCTCACAAATACAATAGCTATTAATGTGTTTGCTACGTATTGTGATAAGTTGTGTCGATTCGCCCGTGTACATAGCGTTCGTTTTCACCAACTGGGTTGTGCTATGGGTATGGCTGTCAGATCCAGGAAATATCTGGGATATACTCATCCCTAAAGTTATTGTTATTTTCTAATCAAAAATTCTCATTTAATTGGGCACCCTGTATTTCATCCGGCAAACCTAGCCCTGGACCTTTTCAGAGCTGACTACACACCTCTTTCTAACTGCAGCTGCGCAGAATTCCATGGGGACCGCCAACCACCCTTTATCCCCTCTCCTCAGAGTGGGCCATTGGGTGGTCTCTGCTCTCCAGTACCACAAACAGACCTGTGATCAACACCTGCCTTACTCACTGCCTCAGTTGTTTCTGCCACAGCTGGTCTTCTGGTCTGGACACGATGTTCCTAGGCCAGTGCTCACTGCTTCCTAAGGTTTCTAGCTTAGGCTTAGTTACCATCTAGGTCCCCCGCCTTCTTCTGGCCTCCTTAGAAATGATATCGCACCTTAATTCTGTCCTTTGTGTACTAAACAAACATCGTTCGTGTCCTGCTGGGCTGGCGTCCTGGTAAAACCCATATTCTTTTCTCTGAAGTCTGCTTTATACACAAATTGATCACCTAGTCACAGACTTTCTTTCTCTCTAAGACTCCATAACTACTTGTCTGAAATGAAACTGTGATCATGTGCTTTTTATACTTTTTTTATAAGGCTAAATCTTTCACAACCTATCATGTCCTTAGGTCCTGCACAGGACTCTGTGCATTCATACCCCACCTCACAATGGGGGTCAGAGGGAGGCTCAGTTATAATGATATTGGGGGTCTATTTGTTTATAACACCTTTTAAAATTTTCCATTCTGAGTTAGGATAGAAGTTCATTACTATGACTGATTCCAGGATGTAAACAGTGCTCACTGTCCACGAGATCGGCCATGTTCCTGGTCACATGGTTGTTTCCTCTTCCTGTTCTGTTAAGTCACCACATCTTTCAGGGCTGGTGGCTTCTCATAATACAAATAATAAAGTCCATAAAAATAACTAATTCAAAACAATCCATGATAGAACAAAGAGAGTTCGATTTTGTTTTTTTGGTTTTTTTTTGTTTTAAATAAAACTCCTTATTTCTGGGCCCTGGTTGATGGTTAACCACAGAAAAACCTACTTGGAGGCACCCTTCAAAAAGGCGTTCCTGACTCACTTTCTAAGCTCCAATGAAAATTCTATTTCCTCTCTTTCTCCCCAAACTTCTGCTTTTGGAGCCTATCCCATGGGTACAAAGTGGTATCTTAATGATGTTCTATTTGCATTCGTTCTACCAGTTGGGAGTTCAAGCATCTCTTCACTTCCAGGTCAGCCCACCCACGTGCCCTTAGTTCAGGTTTCTATTGGTTTCCTGAGGGACACTATGAAGCAAAACTATAATCTTTACATTTTGAATAAAGCAAACACACTTTACCATAATAACTTGTAAGTTCACCACAAGAAAGTCAGAGGCCATGAACAAATAAGAAAATTAAAAGCACCCACAAACTACTCACCCACAAACAGCTACTCAAAACACATCTATATACACTTTATTTTCCCCATCTCGGTCTCTGTCTCCCTTTCTCCAAAATTTGTAAATATTTGTACAAAATCTCGTAACAATTATTTTTAACTGCTTTTTTCCCTTAATAGATTTTCAGCATATTTTAAAAATAGTTTATTTATTTATCTGTTTGTTTGTTTTTGGAGGGAGGGGAAGGAAGGAGAAAGAGAGGGAGAGAAACATTGATGTAATCAACCTGTTGCCTCTTGCTCACCCACCAGGACCTGGCCCGCAACTCAGGCACATATATTTGTTTTTATATTCATGACAGGGGATCAGAGCATTGACCTTCTGGCTTGTGGGACGACACCTAACCCACTGAGCCACACTAGTCAGGGCCATCTTTGGCATCTTTTTATGTCAATAAATAAACATGTGAAAAATACTTTTAATGGCCAAATACCACAATATTAGATTAAAATGAAGTGCCATAACTTGATGTTGCTCTTGTTGGTTACTTAAATGATGTCAAGTGCCTTACTATACCTTAAATATCACTTCATTATCTTTATGACTAAATACTCCTATATATTTCATTTTTTCATTAAGATATATTCTCAGAAGTAAAGTTTATAGGTCAAAAGCAAGTATATTTTTAAGGCTTTAATTCATTTTGTCAAATTATTCCTAGAAGATAGAAGCAACTTACATTAAAAATGACAGTGTATTAAGTTCCTGCTTCCTTCCAAATTGGTATGCAAAACACATACTAACTTATTATTACATTTTTAAATTAAATTTTTTTCTTCAATTATAGTTTACATTCCATATTATTTTGTATTGGTTTAAGATGTACAGCATAATGATTAGACAATCATATACTTTAGTTAACTTATTATTTTAATTTGCAATTTTTTTCCATTATGAAAAATTTTAATTATAATTGACAACATTATGTAAATTGGTTGCAAAAACTATAAAAAATTTTGGAAAACACTTTTTGATATGAATAAATTTAGTCACTTTGTAATTTTTCATTTATGAATTACCTCTTTGAATTTAATTTTAATAATATTGAGTCGACAAAAGAATTAATTTATTTCATTTTAACAATTGTAATTTTGAAACTGGCACACATGTGCTTCAAAGTCGAATCAGTCTTTTTTTCTAATTTTTTAAATTTAATTATTGTTCAAGTATAGTTTTCTGTCTTTTAATTTGCAATTTTCTGATTGCTAAGGAGGTCATACCATCTTCCATTTGCTTTCTGGCTCTTTGTGCTTATTTATATTCTTTCTCCTTTGTTTTTATATTTATTCACTCACCCAACACCCTCCTGTTCTGCCCTTTGCTCATTTTTCTCTCAGGGTATTCAAATGTTCTTACTGACTTTTAAGTACATATTTAAAGCTAACAGATAAGCCGAAGGAAAACCATTTTATATCCTACAAATAGAGAATAGGGCTTTATGACTGTATTGGGGATGATTTTAAATGCAAACCTGTGCTTTTAGCAGGTCAGCCAATCTATGAAAATTTTGAAGAGAGCAGCAGGGTACTAAATTTAAAGAAATTAAATTCCCTAATTCTTCATAGCTATTTGTTTTAAAAGAAAGTCATGCAACTTTGTTTTAAAGTTTTTAATAAGCATTTTTAAGAAAAGTTTTTAGGTCAGTCATAAACTTAAAAAACAAATATTATGTCTAGAAATAAGGACAAACCAAAATGGTTTGGTCAAACACTTATCCTAAATCTTGTAAGTTGCTGCATTATAAGGTTTTATTTTTCCATTGTTTCTGCAACTGAAATTTAATCACCTTAAAAAATGCATTAATTAGTTTGATAAACAGATGGCCAATAGACATATGAAAAGATTTTCAATGTCACTAATCACCTCACACCTGTCAGAATGGCTATCATCAATAAATCAACACAGAACAAGGGTTGATATGGATGTGGAGAAAAGGGAACCCTCCTGTGCTGTTGGTGGGAATGCAGATTGGTGCAGCCACTGTGGAAAGCAGTATGGAGCTTCCCCTGCAAATTAAAAGTGTAACTGCCTTATAACCCAGCAATTCCACTTCTGGGAATATATCCAAAGAAATCTGCAACATTAATTTGAAAGGATATATGCACTCTTATGTTCACTGCAATGTTATTTACAATAGCCAAGATTTGGAAGCAGCCCAAAGTGCCCATCAGGAGATAAGAAGATAAAAATATTGTGGTACATTTATACAATGGAATGCTACTCAGCTATTAAAAAGAAGAAGGAGGAGGAAGCCTTATCTTTTGAGACGGCATGAATGGACCTGGAGAATATTATGCTAAGTGAAATAAGCCAGTCAGAGAAAGACAAATATCATAAGATATCACTTATATGTGGAATCTAATGAACAAAATAAACTAACAAACAAAATAAAAACAACTTACAGATACAGAGAACTGACTGACAGCTGTAAGAGGGGAGGGGTGTTGGGGGGACTGGGTAGAAAAGATGAGGGGATTAACCAAAGGGAAAAAACTCATAGACACAGACCACAGTATGGTGATTAACAGAGGGAAAGGGGGTTGAAGGAGGTAGAGGAAGGTAAATCAGGGATAAATGGTAATAGGAGGAGATTTTACTATGGGTGGTGAGCACACAAGAAAATATACAGATGATGTGTCATAGAATTGTACATCTGGAGACTTCCGGTCAAAATGGAGGCGTAGGTAATCATGGCTTGCCTCCTTGCACGACCAGAGAAACATTACAGCTAAATTACACAACAAATGTCTCTCATAACTGTCAGAAAGTCAAGCTGTATGGGAAATCCAACAACTAAGGAATTAAAGAAACCA